ACAGGATGCACTATTTCCGTGTAGGTTATGAACGTACCAGTCGGATCGCTGCTGCTTCTGCGCCTTGACGGAACAAGCGCTGCTTTTCAGTTCTTGGCTGATGCAGAAGATTCCTTTGAACAGTGTGGTTGGTCAACGATCCTTAACTTAGCACGCGGCAAATCCGCATGGCCCGGCGAAGCCGGGCCATGTCACAGAAGGAGGAGCGCCCGGCGACAGCCGGGCGATCCGACTGGTAATAATAATAATGAAGAAGATGTGAAACTACTCCTTGTGACAAGTTTCTAGCACAAGCGAACTGTTTTGGTGCTTGTTTCTGTGGTGGAGATGCCAGCTCCTTCCGAGATAAGCGGATCTGGCATTCGTGTTCGGGTAGTTCAACTCTTGGATGGAGTTCAGGACGAATTTAGAGTCGTTATCACTAAACTCAGCTGGGGTGCCATAGATTTCGGCGCGACGCCAGCTCGTTTTCCATCGGTCGTAACGGCTTCGGGCCTCAATGAGTTGTGGAGAAAGGGCTAGCGCTGCGTCAAAACCCACGCGCCGCTAACAAGCCCCGACTGACTTCAGTAATATCAATATCAACTGCGTCCGCGGAGAGAGGTTTAGGTCAAAATCCGCAGTGAGCATTAAAGAACAGGACAATAAGTAACAGATAGAACTCAGGCGGCTTCGATAGGCGACAAATGAATGTCTAATGGTAGAAAGTGCTTTTTTAGAGAGAAAAAAGATTACCCATAGACAAAGGCGTAGGCGATTAGTAGAACGAGGCAGCTGTATCGGAACTGTTTGACAATTGGACTCATTTCAGCACAAACTACGTAGAACACCAGGAGAAGATTATCAACGATGGTGAATGAAAGCAGAATTGTGCGGCGACCAAATCTGAAGCATTTACATCGTAGAGCAATAATTTGAGCCGATGCAGAGGAGCTTAAGTAAACCCGAGAAACGCGACGAGCTCACCGTTCGATCCATGTCGATCCTGCCAATGTGCCCAGAACGTATCCTAATGTCATTGCGGTACTGCTCCAAGAAGCGACTGCTTGATCAAGACCGATTTCTTCGAGAAAGTACGTAGAAGACAACAACATCGACCAAAGAGCGACTGTGTTCTAAAATCTAGAGATCGGATTCAAGAGACAGGATAAAGGTGAATTTTATGTTGAACATACCTGCAAGGCAGAAATGCTGAGCAGAACTGCTCTTCTCAAATGCGGCTCGGTGAATAGCTCCTTAGCAGATTTCCAAGATGTGGCCGTCTCTGTCTCATCTTCTGCTTCCTTGAAAGCAGTACGTTGAGAATGTGAAGTTTCAGGAATCACTGTGAAAATCTCGAAAGCAAACTCTGCGCTCTCCCTCAAGGATTCTGATTCTTGCCGTATGGAAAAAGAACGGTTCGTTGGCTGCAGAAGCGACACTTCCATCACTTTGAAGGGCGCGGAAATGAGACTGGAGGATCACGGTAGTTCAAAGCTGTTCTAAATTCCACCCGCACTGGAGTGATACTGTTTGGACACACACAGTTTCGGTAAAGGAACTATGGCACTATTTCGTAAGCCTCATAGGGACCATGCAAAAGTTTACAATTAATGACAACAACTTCATCTACAGCCTTATACTTACATTTCACATCCCGCAGGAGGGAGGCGTGGCTGCACCAATCATTTGAACAGAGCAGCTTTTTGAGAGTTATTTCTGTCAGGATGGCTACCGTCTTGCCTTGTCTGACTGGACTCAGGAGCGCGTTTTCGCCGTGTTCGAACGAAGGATGCAGCCACGCTCCCTCATGCTCCAAGGTATAAAGTGTAATTTCATTCAAATTTTTCTCACAGATCGATAGTTTGCATAACAATTCTGTGAATTCTCACCCAAAATATAGAATAGAAGGTGATCCGGCGACATCAGTGCTGAAGAACAGTACGACGGCGATGATGAGAAACAATTAACATATCCAATACATATCAAATCGCTTAGCACATAGCATCCCAGGATAGCTTTGTTACGTACAACCCTCCCAACTCACTTCCCCACCCCTCAACGTTAAGGCTGAGGCTGGTAGAAGTAGTTATTCCCTTCAAGCTAGGCTCAGCCAGCGT